AAACATCATGTAACTCTTGTGGTATGAGGGGGAATGTCATCATCCTGTACAGAATTAAATATAAGCTGGAGAGCTCAATATTCCACCTGCTTTCTGCTGCAGCTAAAACTAAAAATTGCATTCTATTACCTAATTACTGTGTCATCTTTGCAAGGATATTCTTATTAAGTTATATTATTTCTGAAAGATATTAAGCACTTAAGATAATTATTTGAAATGAAGAAAAATTCACTAAGGATGAGTACAAAGTTCTACTTAGAGTAAACAATTATAAAAACAGTATGGTAAAGTCCTTCCTATACAGCATGTCTGCAGAAAAGGATCTCATTGTGAAGATGGACTTTAAAACTGAAAATTGTATTAATTACGATAATGATATTGTATCACCGCAGAAACTCTAAGTGTGTGCATACTTTCATATTTTCTGTATGGAAACTTTATACATTTACTTACATTAAAATGTAGGTGTATATAAAGATATTATATGAAGGATATTACGAGTAATATTCTAACTCTGGTGCTAAGATCTCTTCTGTAGTATACTATATTCAGGTTTTCTTCATGATAGTGCAAGCTACAAAGGGTTCAGAAAACAATATCAAAATTGACCAGACAGCTAGAAAACCTTGCTTCTGAGGAATAAAAAAATGACAAATTTGGTGTTCCTTATTTCAGAAAATAGATGAGGGATGCAACCCTTAAAGAGAGAAAATATATTGTTAGGAAAAAGAAGCAGCCCAAGTTGCCTGAAATATTTGATTAGACAGAAAGGAGAACTCTTAAATGATAGAGAAACTTGAGCATTGGAATAAGTCACCTAAAAAAGCTGTGAAGTCCTCATAATTGTAGAATTTTAAGAACAAATTAAACTGATTCTGAAACATGATTTTGAGAAACCTATTTCTGTATTGGAGCAGCAGAATACAAGATATTGGCTCCTAGGCCTGATATCTGCCATCAACTGTGCGTTCAGCTGTCTTTAAAAAATTAGTTTAAGTTAAACCTGCTTGCTGATCTTCAATAATGGTGTCATAACTGATAAGGAGAATGGTGGCTTCTTATGAATCAGATTCTGGCCGAATGTATTCCATTTAATGGAGAGAGTTAAATGACTAGCTCTGTTACAGGGTGTCAGGTTCCTACACAGAAGTAGTAAGCCTGGAGTAAGAAGGCTACTGTGGGTTGCCTAAGTGTTAAGCTGAAGGGGAACAGACTCTTTCCTGTTTGTAAAGGGAGTTTCCAGGGACAATCTGTAAAATGCTCATGAAATTTTTTATTTAGTTTTGGTTACTTCTAGCCATTTTAAAGTTATCTTGCAGTACTGGACCTCGCATGTGAGGCAGATGCATCTACTTACAGCTGTTTCATTTCAGTCACTAAACCCTACCATGTATTCCTGCATGTATTTTCATTTTTCTTACATGTCTCTGTGTTATATCAAGGTCTTTGAAACCTTGAGACCTTAAGAACATAAGTTCCCTCAGTTTTCAGATCACATGTTGACTTAATAATCTTTGCAGACATTAATAGCACCATCCCCACACTTATGTTCTTTAAACTACTAGAAAAAAATTGCAGAAGTCCTAAAGAATTCTATGTAACACATCAGAATAGCAGCCCACGACTTTCAGCTTTGTACTTCACTTCTGGCAATTGCTTGATACTTTCTTGCTCTGCGTTGTTTTTGGTGCCACATTTTGATAACCACTGGAAGACTTAAGGGAGTTTACAAGAAGTTATTCGTGTTCTTAGTAGCTTAGTCACTGATCATGTGATGTCAGTGCTCTGTGATTCACTTCTGATTCATTTCAAATTGTACTCTAGGTGATACCGTTGGAACCTGCTTATGAAATAAAGATGGTGCTTATGAAATAAAGGCCTCTTAGACCTAGAAAAGCTAACTTTTCTTTCCTGCAAAATTCAGTTTGGTTAAGACATCCTTGGCATTCCTACTACTGCCTTATTGTTGCATTCATGTATCAGAGGGAAGGTCTCAGTACAGCAATCCTCTCTACTGAACATATTCTTTCTGTTAAGTATTTACCACAGGCTTGTGGCCATCAGGATCTGGTGAAAAGCAGGTAGTTGGCTCTTAAAGCCTTACTTACTGATTTTTGAGTAATTTCTCCAAAGCATTCAAGGACCTAGAGATACTTAAGCTATTTCTAAATCAGGGATTAGAGTCACTCATTGGCTCATGCAATAGAGTGGCTGATGGGCCTAAATTAGAAGGTTCTTGCCCTTGTGTGTTCTGAGTCTCACAGAAGAAATGGAACTTTTGTAATTGTAGTTATTAGTGGCTTTGTGCTACTAGATGGATCATAAAATACTTATCATTAACTGTCATTGTGCTTTGACTCATGGAGTTAAATGCTGGAAAAGTATGTTCAACTTCTGCTTTCTTTTTTGTTTCAGAGTATATTTATTAAAAATCTGAATACAATAAGGGAATTTACAGGAGAAAAACATGCAACAAATAACCAGTTGGTTATTTGTAATTTGTGGCAGCGAGACAAAGCTAAGGCTTATGCAGTAATTCGCAGCTTTCTTTAATGTAAATTGACTAACTGAAACACACCCATCCCACTTTAGTTAGTGTTCACTCAGTGGTTTTGCTCGGTAGGCCGTGTGGTTAGGAGCAGGTATACAAACGGAAATGACAAGGAGTTTTAAAACAAACCTGCTGGGGGTTCAGGAGAATGCTGCAGAGGCAGCTCGCAGCAGTCAGGCCAGCCCTCTTACTGGCATTTGCACAAAGATGCTTTACCATTGTGAACTGTGGGCTGCTACAGTTCCATGCAGGCTTGCTGTTCAGTGCTCTACTGGGGACATTTAGATTTCTTTTTGCAGAGTATTTATTTTGTTTTTTAAGCCACCACAAATACAATGGGGTTTTTTTTGTGAAGGTGAGACTTTTAGTTGGATGAGAGAACAGATAGTCCCAAACCTAGTATTGCTTTAATGTGTGCAAAATAATAGCATGCCATTGTAATGAAGTGTATCTCTGTTGCAAGATAATTAGGTCTGGATGTGGTGAAGCATAAATGTCCTTTCATTATGCAGGAAAGCATCATAAATGTGTTAATTTAATTATTAATAGTAGGCAGAACATGCTGTTTTTCTCTGTACCTTTGTGACATGAAAAAGCTAAATGGAAGAGAGACCTTCTAGAAAACAAAAATTCAAATGGGAACCTGTGGCCAAGTGATACCTGTGTTATGCCATAGCAGAGGATTTTGCACACAATGAAAGTGCTAAGGGAGGGAGAGTGTTATTTTTGTCTTTGTCTGGAAATGATCTATATTGAGCACTTACAAGAAGGTGTATATTCTGAGGAGAATGTGTGCATATATCCACTCAGCTTCCAAGTTAAGCATATACTGAACTGTGCCCCTGATCCAACAGGGGCTAGTGGATGGAGCTTCTGGCAGAACACCAAGTTTTGTCAAAGGAAGAAAACTGATACAGGCCTCTGTGTGCCAGGCCTAAAATAATTTTACTCTTCATGAAGACACTCAAAGGGTACACACTGAAATGCCAAATACTAAAGGCCTGATTAAGTATTTATTCTTGATGTCCCAGCCTTCCTCTGCAAATTTCCCACTTCTCTAGCTGAATAACTTGCTGGTTTGCCCTCAGTGCTCATGCTGTAATACCTAGGCAGTTTATACCTCAGAAATATATTATATCTGTCAGTATTCCCTCAGTAAGGAAGTAAATCCTTTAGTAAGGAATGAAATTATGTGTGAATGCAAAAAAGGAACATGTAAACTTTGGTTCATGCTGTAAAACGGAACTTGTAGCATAAGCCAAAAGGCAGATCAATAACTTCTTTGGTGTCTATTCTGCTCTCATTCATGGGCTGTAGGACAGGCAGGCTTTCCCCTTGCCTGTTTCACTGAAGGTGGATACATTTGGTATCTTCCTGTAGAAGGGCATGGAAATTCTCACCCAGTAACTAATGTGGATAATCATGTTTTGCAAATGGACTATGTTTAATGTCCCATTTTGGTGATGTGCAAATTAAAGTGCCTTCTCCCTACCTTCCCTAGCAGTAGATGTTATTTCATATACTGGAAATCTGCTGTTTCACATCCCTCTTCCATTTCGCCATATTGTGCTTTGCTTCTCTATCATGTTCCTGCTACTGCTTTTTAAAGAGACAACTACATTTATTCCCATAGAGGTTAATCTATTTAAAATTATTCAAGAAGATACATTTGCTTTTGTATTTGAAAGGGTGTCAAATTCCAATTCAAGCTAGTTAGGTTTTCTTATGACTGGCTGTGGGAGAACATTGTCAGTTAATATTTACAAACACTTTCACTACTGTTTGTTGTAGAAATGGAAACTTCTTAAAGTGTTTTGCTACAGTTCATGCCCTTGATCTTTTTGACTTATGGAAAAAAATAACCCACTAGAAGACAGATGTAGTCTAAAGCCCTTCCTCTGCTGAAATCACATAGTTCAAGTTGATGTGCAGTACATTTAGGTCCAGCACAGGGAGTATGCACAGGTTAATCTCTGAATTCCTAGCCTATGTTGTATCTCATTCCATGTACATGTGTGATCCTGGTCTGTGTGTGCACTTTGGTGTTATGTGTGTCATCTGTACCAAAAGGCTCACAAATACTTGAGAATATTGCTGTTCTGTTTGATAAGTGTAGTCATACCAAGGACTGGCTGAGGTGGATCAGTAACTGAACTACTTTGCTCTACAGTTCAATGATTTGTTTGCAAGTTTATATTCATATGCCCAAAGCTAAGCATTTAACATTGCTGAGCTTAGATAATTATGTATAATAATTATATGGGCATTCTACTTTTGAAACACATATTTTTTGTTTATCTTTTTTTTTCTTATTAGTAAGTTACTGCTATCTTTGAAATAGCATACATGAACAGACCTGATTAGAATTAGGATTCTGAAAAAGCCTGTTGCAAATTGTTTATGAAGGTATAGCAAGATTTCAATATGAATAATCCTTTTTGTTTTTTAGATTTAGAAGGAAATGCATGTCAAAACAACCAGCTGCTAAAAATAATTCTGGCCATGCATCAGTTTTTCATCTCCTCTGCAGACATGCTTCAGAAACTTGTTGATCTATATCCTTTGTAATGTTCATCTGCTTTTAAGGTAACCTGATAGCCTGATAAGTTCAAGATGGTAAGTAGAGGATATTTAATCTATGGGTGTATTAGTATTCCACTAATTAAACTGTATACTTATTCTTTACAGTTTTTGGTTGTATGGTGTGCTTTTGTTTGGTTTAGGGTTGGTATTTTTTGTTTGTTGGGTTTAACTTGTTATACACAGAGGAAAAGATGAAACTCCAAGTCAGGCTTTACGTAGGATAAATCACCCTCTGTTGGCTGTGGAGGGAATATCTAGCAGGTGTAAGATGAATGCAGATGAGTGTAGTCACGTCAATTAGGTACTGTGAGCCTGGGCCCAAGTTTAAAATCTGTTTCTGTCTCTGTCCACTATCAAGTCAAACAGCAAAGAACAATATTGTATCATCAGGGTATGAAAATTATTTCTCTCACACATGCTCAAAATTGCTGAAATTAGCCATAAGCTTTTCCTTTCTGTTTGTTCCTATTTTAAGTTGACTGCCTGAACTCATATGTGTGTTTTTGGCTCACTAGATTTTTGTAGCTACTAGATAATATTCACAATATTAGTCTTTCTTTGGAATTTTTAATTGTGGCATATGTTACCTGTCTTCTTTGCTTTACATAATGTTTACTCCTAATTAGATGAGCACAGTATAGGATGGAGACCTGTCATGCTAAAAATCTTCATGATACAATTCAATTTAATAATCTTTTCTTTCCTAAACTCTGTATCTTCCAAGCATTGACAAGCAGCATCCTTGGCAACAGAGTTTTATTGGAGCATTGACTGTCTGTCTGTAGCAGGACTGTCCTGCTGCTTCTCTAATGGCAGGTGATGGATCAAGTGTGCTGAGCTACAGCTGTGGTGTGGTGTAGCATTTCACTTAGGCTCCTGAGCTCTTGGAAAATGGAACTAAGTCAGTTCTTGCATCTTCTTTCTGAGATGGAATGTTTTCTAAAACCAGAAAAGCAATTCAAACTTTTATTAGACTTGCATATTTTGCAAGCTTGGTTTTTAACTCTGTGTGTAACTCCCTGTAAAGACATTGAAAGTTAAAGACAGTTTTGAATGGATCAGGTAGTCTGGGCTCTTGTATTTTGAAAACCTTGCAAGTGTTCCAGTTGCACCATTTCCCATCCCATAAATTATGGGAGTGATTTCAGGTGGTTACAAGTTCTTTGTAAGTGATCTAATTCTAGTCATTCAGAGTGGGGCCCTTAAAAATATTTGGGAACTTGCTCAGACTTCACCAGTTCTCTAGTCAGCTTAGTGTAAGCATGCTGAAAGGGTGGATGGCATGTCCCCTCGGCTGTGGTAGATTTAGGCTGCAGTTAATTGCAATCAGATTGTGAATGGATTCACAAGGTATTTTCATTAAGTTATGTTTTTCAGGCCTGAAAATATGTGTGTCATCTCCATCAGAAGAATCAAGATATATATAATACATTTTTCAAAATGGATTTTCTATTCAACAGACATTGGCTACAATATCAAAACATGTTTTAAGGAGCTAATAGACTAAATATATGGTTGTTTCTTTCAGTCACCAGAGCAAATTAAATTAATTGTAGCTAGAAAGGTAAGGTTACTATGGAGAGGCATTTACATTTTATTCTGCCATTGTCTACAACTGGTTATGTTTAAAGAAAAAAGCTTTTTTTTTTATCTCCAGTGATTTAGCTGAAAAGGATTGCTTTATAAATGCATTGACTGATAAATATGGTATGAATATTACAAATTTTAATTGCAGGTGTCAATGCACAAGTTTAATGAGAAACTGTGAGGCATTTTGAAAAGAAACGTGTAGAAAAAAGAATCCCTTCACTGGTTAACACTACTCAGTACTCTGGCAACAGCATCAATATTACTCATAGTAGTCATTATTGCAATAAACTTTGGTAAAAACCTTGGGATATAAATTGTATATACTTATGCAAAACCCTAATCTGATATAATATTTGCCATCAGCAGGATGATTGTTATTGCTTACAGGTTGGGAAATATCAAGCATGTTACATTTTACATCATATGTGAGTGGATGTGGTTTTCCTTAACAGTTTTCTACCTATCTTAATGCTTTAGAAAATAACTCTTCCATGCTGTGTGTGAAGATCTGCTATTTTGTGAGGTGAGTATATTTGTGGTTGGTACTATTAGTCATTAGTCTGCAGTTGTCCATGTGACAAATAAAAATACTTTTTTTCATGTCTGAAAATGACATTAAAAAGAGAAACAGCTTTTCAAAATTCACTTTAGCAGCTCTACACAAAAAGGTCCAACTGGCTTTTAGCAGATCTGTTTAAATCAGTGCAAGAGTTGTCAGATCAAAATTTTGAATGAAGTCTGTATGAATCTGTATCTTAAATATCTGTGAAAATTGACAGTACTCAGGAAACGATAGAATTGTTTATTATAGTATTATTAAATAGGTCTGTTAAAAATTGAGATATTGCAGATATTTTTATGCTAAGCAAAGATCTATTGCATTTGGTAGGTAATTCTCCTTAGTAATTCTATTTGCGATGGTCCTGGAACACTAATTTTTACCTATTAAGTATAATAAAGTATCTCAGTCTAGAGAAAACAGAAAAGAAGGAGAATATTCAGCTCTAATAGATCAAGGATACTGCTTTTTTACACAAAGGGGGAAGTTATTAATAACAAGAAAGTAGAATTTGTTTTAAATTGTGATGATTTTATTATCTCAGAGCAGATTATTATTGGTTATGTCAGCATGCTTTAGTACTGTGTGAGATCTGGATTTGAGCTTCCAGGCAAATTCATACTTATGTGCATCCATAAAAATGTGCATTTCCATTTTTCCAAAAAGAACAGGTTTTTACATGCATAGTGCTGGGTACTGTGTCTGCTTGGGATGGAGATAACTTTCTTCATAGCAGCCTCTATAATGCTGTGTGTTGAATCTGTGAGTAAAACTCAGCATTATTTTACCTCTTGCTGAACAATGATTGCACAGCATCAATGCCTTCTGTTTCACATCCGTCCCTGCCAGACTGTGGGCTGGGGGCAAGCTTGAGACTGGGACACAGCTGGAACAGCTGTCCTGAACTGACCAAAGGAACATTGCACAAGCCACACAGGGTTATACTAAATTTCAGCCTAACTAAATCAAAACTTTTTTTTTATTATGTTTATTTTAATTTTAATAGGTATTGGATTACAGAATTCTGGATTATGTTCAAAATGGACTCTAAACTATCCACAGCTATGGAGGAATTTCAAGAAGTGGTTCGAGCTAATGGTGAGGAGTTACATTGTCGTCTAATTGACACATCTCAAATGTGAGTGTCGAAGTCTCAATATACTCAGAAAACAAAATTTTGCTCTGAATTTCCTGTATTCTAATATAATGTCTCTCATAAGTAATATTTTAGCTATCCTAACAATAATTTATACTTCATTACAGATGAAATATACATTATGTAGTGGAACATAATGCCTTTCAGGAATGACTTAGATTGAATTTAGTTGCAGTGTAGACTTTGGGCTGATTGTCTATTGACAGCTAGGTTTTACCTTGTCCAGGGAACTTAGAAAATATGTAGATGCCTAATGGTTTTGCAAGATCACTTGAAATCACTGAAAAAAGTATAAAATTTGATTGTATAACAGATGAGGTAAAAAAAGTGTGTTTATATTTTAGTAACAAAGGTAAGTGAGGATATAGTTTATTATGTTGTCAGACTCTTGATATTGTTTAGATGACTTTGGTTATAAAATACTTGTTGTGACAGGAATAAATCCTAGAGTTGTACATCACATAGTTCTTTCTTGGGAAGACATGTTTGCCCAATGAGATAGTTCTGTGGAACAGTACAACTGACAAAACAAGTGTCAATTTGTACTTTGGAAATGCACAGGCTAAAGCAGAGCAGAATTTAGCTTACATTTTGGATCTGGTTATGAAAGAGGATATTTAGCATTTCAAATTGAAATAAATTTTATTACTCTATGGGTTAATAGCAAAGCGAGACAGTTCATACTCAGAGGTTGCTCAAGGAAATCGAAGGATTATTAAATGGAGGAGCACTGGATGTGTTTGGTGAAGGCAAAGTTACTGCTATTCTGAAAATGTAGAACTGATTGCAGAAATTATATAGGCTCTCATGATGTTTAGTAAGACAGCTGTATTGTACTTAAAGTCCTACATCAATACAATAAAGACAAGCAATAATATTTTGTCATATAATCTTTAATGCATGAAAGCAGTTTGCTGTTTTGAAATTCAAATAATTCACTTTTTACTGTAGTAAGGCATGAAAACAATGTTACCTCTGACTTAGGAAATGAGGAAAATTTTGCTCTTCAGTAAATAACTTGGAGTAATTGTGTTTTAAAAGAAATTCCAGGGATTGGTCTAGAAAGCTGACACAGCGTGTAAAGGCCAACACCAGTAAGAAACGGAAAGTGTCACTTCTTTTTGATCACCTTGAGCCAGAAGAGCTGTCAGACCACCTTACCTATCTTGAGTTTAAGTCTTTCAGAAGAATATCAGTAAGTTATTTAAATTTTATTTATTTACATAATTATTTATTTATATTAAGCAAATATGGGAAAGACATAGGAAATATGGCAGAGAGGTAGGTAGTAGTACAAGATTAACTCTGCCATACAGGATGTTGGACATGCTGAATCTGTTTCCAGACTCTTTTATTTTACTAGTATTGAAGGTGGACAGTGTAACTTAGATTCTGAGTAACTACCCTTCTGCTGCAACCATGTGGGAGTGAGAGAATGAACCTCAACTGTGGGAGAGCTGGGGCGAGATCACTTGGAAGGAAGAGGAGAAAACCTTCCAAAGAAGTTCGGGATGTCATTGGGCACAAGAACAGGCAGCATCAGTTGACTCAAATCAGTAATCAGGCTGAAATGGGATGAAGGAAACTTGGAATATTCTCCTGGGGTGCTAACTTCTGTAGTGAACAGTGCAGCAATCCTGTGCAGTGATTAAGGGACTGCACTGAAGATGGCCACTGGGCTCTGCTTGCCTTTTTGATTGTGCATAACAAAGACCAGAGATAAGAAAGCACTTTAGAAAATGCCATTTTTAATGCAAGGGGGTTAAACTTATTTTATTATACAAGCTTTCATATACAAAAACAATTCTAAAGGATTTACCTAAGATATTTTTTTCTTTCCTTTGATTTATTTTCTCAGTAATGTTTGTAGCTGCTAAGATGCAAACTTCCCTATGCACCTTGGCTTCACTTGCATCATTGTATGCTACAGCATTGCCTCTTTTCAAACCTGATACAGTTTGCATATGGAAAAGTGAATGTTAGGGACCAAAATCTAGGAGGGTTGCAAAATCTGTGTGATAATAAGACTGAAAGCAAAGGGTTTTTTCCAGTGTTGTGGTTTTATTTTTGTTTTTGGGTTTTGTTTTTTTTTTTTTTTTTTTTTTGTTTTTTTTTTTTTTTTTTTTGTTGTTTTTTTTGGTAACACTACAATATGAAGCTGAACCTATGCAAGAAAAGGGGCTCTCACTAGATGGTGGAAGATTTCACAGTCATGTTTTCATGTACTTGGTTTTGAGCTGCCAGTAAGTGACAATGTGTTTTGTGTTAAACTCAAAAAGCTGTGGAACTGAAGTCATGCAGAGATTGCTGCCTGTAGGCAGTAATAATATGCAAAGCTTATATAACGTACCATTTTCAAAAACCTCTGTGCAGATGTAAGGTAATTAATGAGTATAACAAGTATGTTTTTAGTCAGAGTGTCAGGTGTGTCATGCAGTTCCAACAGTTACATATGTGTATGCATTTTATGTGCAGGGTACCTGCATATGTTTTTGTATAAATTGAGCTTGCCAAGACTTCAGGTCAGAAAGTAATATGTAATTAATTATTAGTTATATTAATTAAATCTTTGCAGAATATGTTCATGATGTGCTAGGCCACAGAATCCTTTCATTATTCTAATATGGTATCATACACCATGAGAAAGATTGAAAATGACCAGCTGTGTTATTAGTCCCTAGAATAACTATTTAAAGGCTTGGGCATTTGGAAGTCAGAAGGGAATATTTGATTGTATACACAGCATACAGGAAAATCTTCCATGAAATCCCGTCCATCTTGCAGCAAATTAAAATGCAAGGAGTGGTGTTCACAGAGTAATGACTGGAGGCATGCTGGTGCTTGGAAAGTATTTTAATCTCTAGTCAAAAAGTACAGGGAGGCCACAATCTTTTCTAAGAATCTGGATTCTGGATTCCTGTTGAAGCTCTTAAGTTAGTCATCACAATAACAGACTCTTGCAATATTTAAATACCTAAACTACTTTAGCGTATCTGCCACTAACAAGCTTGTTATAGTTGACCTCAATAAATTTGTGTACCACAATTAATTCAAAACTTTCAAGAGGCACTTTAGAGATTAATTTCCTCAGCATTAAAAAAAAAATCCTAAGGAGATGACTGCTGAGAAAAAAATAATATATTCATAGTTGTACTGAAACTGCTATGAAGTTCATAATTATGTAGTCAGGTACTTAAAAATTATCTATCTGTATATAGTAGTTGCTTAAATTTCAAAAAATCCAGCCAAAAGCTGGCTGGGTTCAAAATTCAAAGAGTAATTGTAATGTAAGTACTACGTAATCTCAGAGACAGCTCTACTTATTACTAATATTTCTTCAATCTTTAATTTAATAAGGACAAACCTAGGGATGTCTGCTGTCATCTGCTTTTAAAGTGCTAATAATTCTTATTAAACAGATGGAAAAAAATTTATAAAGTTCTAAGAAGGTGAGAGAGGGAGAGTGAGAAACAAACAACAGCCTGACCTTTGCTTAAAGATCAATGCTATTCCACATATTCCTGTGGAAAAGAGTGTATGTCTCTTACAGCTATGAGTGTTTTTGGTAAGATGTTAGTGACCATAGTAAAGAATGGATGTAAAAATCCATTGTAACAATTTCTGATGATTCAAATTCTTGTGGACTTATGCCAATGGATAAATCAACAGAATGGATAAAAATTGCAAATTATTTCTTCTCTTTAATCTTAATGGCTTAAAAAAGAACTGTGTTGCAGGTATCTACTGAAAATTTTTACATTGCCTTGATCAAATAAGAGAATCTCACAAGTGGTATTAAAAGCATTAAGGAATCTGCAGCCCTCACTCTTAATGGTCTTATCTCAGTTTTGTATTACTCCTATTGAGCTTGCTTTTTGTATTGATGTAGCTTAATTCAGAAGTGTGCCCCAGCTACAGAATACATAAACTGAACACTTAAATTATTACTGAGTTAATAGATTACAATTTAAGTTCTGTTAAACCTTCTAAACAGAAGTCAATGAATCTATGAAGCCACTGAGGCTGGGAGAAAAGCCCCAGTTCTGCTCCTCCTAGGATTTATAAGAGCCAAGACTTCTGAGATATGGCAAAAAAAACCTTCCAGTTAATTCAGTTAGTGGAAGCCCCTGCTTTGAACTTAACAAAGCTTTTACAAAGGGAAGATTTCAGTTTTATGGATAGTTCAGGTATAAAAGATATAGTTTGCATTTCATTTGCAAAGCCTCTGTTCACACACAGATCATGAGGCATATGAAACTACATGAATTTTCATTTAAGCTTCTTTTGTTTAAGTTCTCAGATTATCAGAACTACATTGTGAATAGTTGTGTGAAAGAGAACCCAACAATGGAAAGATCGATTTCTCTTTGCAATGGTATCTCTCAGTGGGTGCAGCTAATGGTGCTCAGCAGACCAACACCACAGCTTCGGGCTGAAGTGTTCATCAAGTTTATTCATGTTGCACAGGTCAGTTAAAATCTAGCATGTTTGGTGTTTATCTTTCTCTGATGCAGCCCTTTTTTCTGCTTTCCCCATCCTACTACTAGGGTGAGTTGGGAGTGTTGGCAGTGGTCTCCTGGTTCATGCACGCCACATCTGCATTTGTGTGAGTGTGCTTCTTACCAAGTGTTCAGATATTACAGCGTCACAGCACCAGGACTTCCTCATGTTCATTCCGAAGAAATTATTTCACTGTAAGACTAGGCTTGCTTTTGAATCAGCATATGAGATTCCCAGCTGTGGCTGTGAAGCTTTCCAAAGCATGAGCAACTCTCACAGCTTTGGCTGTAATTAGAAGCCTTCCACCAGAAACACCTTTCTGTGTAAATGGAGAACTATGGTCCACTTGTATTCTTTGCATACTAATTCAACTGCAGTCATAACCAAGATAATAGGCAGTGTTGCTTACGTGTGGTAGACTGTGGAAAGAGAGGGAAGTACTGAAGAGGTACTTTGAAGACTTACTGTATCTGAAAATTTCGTATTTGATTTAATAACAGTAGAGTAAGTTCATGTTATACCCAGTAAAAGCACAACTTAGCACCAAAATGCAAATGGCACAAACTTGTAAGACTTTGGATGAAGACAATAGAAGAACTTAAAATTAGGTGTGCACAACAATCTGAACCTTTAAATTATACCGGGTTTTTTTTTTTGTTTGTTTGTTTTTGTTGTTGTTGGTTTTTTGTTGTTGTTTTGTTTTTTGTCTTTTTTTTTTTTCAATATGAACACAGAAGCTCCACCAGCTGCAGAATTTCAACACATTAATGGCAGTGATAGGAGGTCTCTGTCACAGTTCCATTTCCAGGCTCAAGGAAACAAGCTCATGTGTTCCTCATGATGTAATTAAGGTTAGTATTGCTTCTTTAAGTTTTATAAATAATTGAACCTTTACCTTTTTTTGTCACTGCACACACTAGAAGTTACCCTACTTCGTTGGATAAGATGGAAAGACAGAACAAAAATTTCTTTGGTTTTGAAGGGTTTTTATTTATTATTTAATCTCTAGATCATCAGTTACTCCTACACTTCTTGCAATCCCACCTTTCCTCAAGATTTGTATAGATTCTCTAAGTTCTCTTCTTTAGCCTCAGATGTGATGAGCTGCATTTTAATTTACATGCAGTAGTTCAGAATAATATTCAAACATGAAAACAGAATTGGATCCTAGAACACTTGAAAAAAAACTATTGTCTTCTGTAGTAACATGGATCATCCTTAATCTGTAAAATGCTAGCATAGAGCTCTGCACTTTGAGTGAAAGGACTGATTTTGTTCTTCTGATCTTTCCATTTGACAGGTTTTATTTAATTTAGACTTGAACAAATTTAGCCACATAGTATGGTGGACTGTTAGGAATCTTAATTTCCAGTTAAATTCTTGTGAAATACCAATGAAAGCTATTAAAAAAGGGAAGGAAAGCATATATTTTTAGCGATACTTCTTAAGCATTCATGTCGCTTCTTAAGAGACTTCTTAAAAGAGTAAGATACTTATTTTTGGGCCAGAAAGAGTCTATGAAGGTATCTAATGAGCCTGTTTTGATCACAGTATGATCAACCTAAATGAACAGTGCATACTTGGAGTAAGGACCTGGAAGTGTGACCTGCCACTGGAAATGGTTACAGCTATCGGGATCTATAAAATCAGTTAGAAAGCTAATTTTAGAAACATGTTTTTCAAATTTTCTCATTTTAAGGACTGCATGTGTGCACATCATTTGAATAACTTTTTGTTTCAAGAAATTGTATACAGGTGCTAATAGAAAGCAGGTAATAAAAAGCTGGTAATTATTGACTTGAAAACACACTTCGAGGTTTAACTACATCAAACAGTAAAGGCTACAAATGGAGAACTTTGACAGGAATTTCCCAGAGAAAACATTAGTCCATTGATTTTATTATGTTAATGAGTCAACTTTGTACCTGTGTAATTTTAAAAAAGGGAAATATTTATACTGCTAGACTGAAGATTAATTTGGCCTTTAAAAAGCCCAAGATAACTGTTTCTAATTAATTTCCATGCAAAAAAATTTTCTTAAAAAGACAGGTATGCTGCCTTGAACCATAGTATGACTTCTGATCACACCATGATGGGATCATGGCACAGCACAGGGTTTCACTGCCAGGACCTCTCCAGCAGTTCCAGCTGGTCTCCAGAAAGTCAGAGAATGCATTCCACATTTTAATGTGAAGATGGTTGCTTTTATGAATGTCAGAGAGCTTGTGCTATGCTTACACATTGACTGCATACAGACCCCCCTGATTAAAGGGAATCATATTTCTTTTCATTTGAATAAATGGAGAGTGTAAGGAGACCAGCATTATTGATTAGGCTATATATTAACCATCTTTAATAACATATTAGTACCTAATTTATGGGTATAGAAATTCTAGAATGCCTAGATTTCATTCAAAGTTTTAATTTTTTTTCAAGAGTTGTGAGTAAATTCCTTAACAATAACATGGGAAGTTCTTGTGCTGTATGATAAAAACAGAAACCGTAACCAGTGCTGATTTTTTTGTTTTCTTCTTATTTTTAGGTGTTTAATGAAATGACAGAATTGCTTTCGTCTTACAGAAATTATGATAGTTACCGACGTGCCTATAACGAGTGCAGTAACTTTAAGATCCCAATCCTTGGAGTCCACCTGAAAGACCTGATATCCCTTTATGAGGGCATGCCAGACTACTTGGAGGACAAAAAAATTAATGTATACAAACTATATTCTCTCTATAACCACATAGATGAGCTGATACAACTCCAGGAAATGCCACTTCCCCTAGAGGCTAATATGGACCTTGTTCACTTGCTTACAGTGAGTGTGTTAGATACGATAAATGCATCCAATTAAAAATGTCATATACCTATCAAATAACTAAATAGAGAATCCAATTAATTAATTCATTATGAATACGTAAGGTTGTAATTTTTTTCCCCCAAAGGGGAAACGTACAGGAATAGAAGAGAAAAGACTGGTGATGATTTATGTGGTAGCAAGGGTAGAGGTGCCAGTTCAGCAGTATGTGTCAATTTTTTTCTATAAGGGAAGGAAATGTTCATTTCTGCTTCACTGTACTGTCAGTAAGGAAGATTCCTTGTGTTGACAACAAAATCACACAAAAGTTCAGTTCCTCAAGATACTGCATTTCTAACCAAGTCTGTTCTGGTACTTAAGAAACTGTCTGACATAAACGTTAGTCAAATACAGTAGATCCCAGTCCTGTCTAGTCAGTCCTATGCTACTAAAAGAATTATACTACCTAGGACATTGTTAGAAGTATAGTTTTGGGTTCTCCTAGTAATTTAACCTTCTATTAAAAGAGTAAATCTTCCTTTCTTGTTTCTCAGTTTTGTTTGGCCTTAACAAGTATCTCATCTTGGAAAAACAAGATACTCCACTTCCACTTTCTGGTTACAAGCCCTGTTTCAGGAAGAAGCTAATAGATAAATATGCTTATGTGCCTGAGGTTATTTGTTATGTCTGGGAGCACCTTTGTGTGTGATAAAGCACACATACCCAGAAATTCAGCTATGTGAAATGGTGAACTTCTTCTTCCTGCTGTTTAAGTGTTTTGTTTGAAATTATTCTAAATATTTTTTCCTTCTAAAAAATGTTTTATAAAAGCAGCTATTACAAATATGTAGAACTTTGATCATAATTTCATGCAGGAATATGTGACAGGATATATTAAAAATATATTAATATTAATATGTTAAAATTCAATATTAATTGAAATTGCAGGAGCTTCTGAACTCCAAACACTCCATGTTTCAGGTTTCCAAATAATGGCAATAACAGTCTGTAATGTAGAATTGGACACATTTCAAATCACTGTGAACACCTGTGCAGCTCAATTTCATTTTTTTTCTAGATGTAATCTAAATTAAGAAGAAATGCACCAAAAAATCCAGCAGCAAATTTCTAAAGTAGTAGCGACCATTCTGGGATTAAACTAATGTGTTTGTTTTCAGCTGTCCCTTGATCTTTACTACACAGAAGATGAAATTTATGAACTTTCATATGCACGAGAGCCACGAAGTCACCGAGCTGCTGTAAGGGCTTTTACAGATTCTTAAAAAAAGGAGGGCTTTTATGAGTGATTATATTTTAAAAACAGGATTTTTTAAAAGAAATTTTTATCTCCTGTATTCAATTTATTATTTTATTTTATTATATGCTAAATTGAAAACACTTTAGATTTGTAGATTGAGTGAAATCTATTAAAGCACAAATTGTTGGTTTCATGATGAAGTCTAAGATAGAATATATGGCAGAGTTTACACCCTATCAGGTTTTATAATATGAACACAAAGACAAATGAAGTTGCTGTATAGAGACATGACATCAGTCTTAATCTTGCCAGTTGATACTTTTTTCAACTTTATTCAAATGGAGAATTCTTATATGATTCAAATGATGAAATCCATGAGTGTTATGTGGTAGTTTTGTTATGGTTTTATTAATATGGAAAAGATGGTGATTTTACAGGGCTGTCAGTGAACTGTGACAATTTAAGGAATGACTGCTCTTTTGAACAATTTAAGAAAGAGCTTAAGCACCATGTAATTATCAAAAAAGCTATGTTGGGTCCAGCAGGTAATTTCTGCAATCCTGTGTCACATAGTCTACTGTCACAAATGCAAGAAGTGTAATACTGAAAATCTTTCCATGTGGTACTAATGTGGTACTTCGATCTTTTTCAGCCTATGACACCTTCCAAACCACCAGTAGTTGCAGACTGGGCCTCAGGAGTGGCCCCAAAACCTGATCCAAAAACCATCAGCAAACATGTTCAGAGGATGGTAGATGTAAGTAAGGTTGGCCAGTGTACTTCATATTATGATAAATGTTTATAGCCTTAATGTCATGGTATGAGAAAATACCAGGATGGGACTTCTGTCCTCACAAACAGATACTTTTGCCTACCTGTAAATAGCAGCAGCAGCAGCAGCTGTGAGGCAGAGATGGAAATTCCTTCAGTTGGTAAAGGGCCAGCAGGAGGTGTGAATACTGGTTTGTGTACTTGCAGAGTCACTCTTTCAGGGAGACAGGGAGTCCATTTCTACCAGGTTTTTTTTTTTTACTGATGCAACATCATGTTACTAGATTTTTTTTTTTTTTTTTTTTTTTTTTGGCTTTCTTATAAGCAGCAATTGTTCTTTTTTTTTTTTTTTTTTTTTTTTTTGNATTTTTTTTTTTTTTTTTTTTTTTTTTTTTTTGGGTCCTCTGCTTTATGGGAAACTACTAAGTAATGTGATTGATTCCAAAACTGATAGAGGTAGAGATGTAAATAGTTCATCTTTGTTTGCCTGCTTCATGCCTTTCCTTTCTAAGCACTTATAATATTGTGAGGCATCCTTTGATACACGCTGTTTTGGAATATATTTATAAATTTATTCTGGGTGTGCTCCTTGCCTTGTGGCCAGTGACAAACAGTAATACATTCCACAAGTGGAAACAGGTGTCTGCCTGACAATTCTATAACTGATTTTCTCATAACACTGACCTGATAAAATAAGCTAGGCAGCTACACCGATTTGGCTACAGAAATGACCATTGAGAGCACTAATTGAGTGCATTAGTATGAGTTGTATGTGTGGGCCTGGACAGAGTGGTCTTAAAGCAGAAGTAAAAAACAGCTGTCATTGTGTTGCGAAGCTTTTAGTCCAGCCTGTGTTGACTTATGTTTTGCTGCAAATCAAGAAATCATAATGCTTTTTTAGTCTCAAGCAAAAAATGCAATTAGACTGTTGCACTGTTTAATAGACACTGGGAAGAGATGGGAGATGAAATCCATAAATAATGTAGGAGGCTTTCTAAAGTGGCAATTCAGACCATCCTCATTATAAACTATTATGCTATTCCCTCGTGCAGTCTGTCTTCAAAAATTATGACCATGATCAGGACGGATACATCTCCCAGGAAGAATTTGAAAAGATTGCTGCCAGTTTCCCTTTCTCATTTTGTGTAATGGCTAAGGACTGGTGAGTACCTGCTTATCAGCTTTGTAGTATCTGCTTTGGAAGATATTGAAGGGGTTTTATGTTTAAATTGTATTGTATCATTAGGGTGTTAAAAGCATCCTCTTCAGGCACAGACAGAAGTGAAAACATCACTGACAAAAGCATCTTCAAAATGTGTCGTGAATGACATCTTCATTGGGCTTACAGCAGTGGTGTCCAAGCTCATTTAGAAGGAAAAACAGACAATAGAAAAATAACCATTTTTCAAATTATATCCAGTATATACTGCTAAATAATTTTCCTATGATAAAGCTGTCCCTTAAAAATAGAGAATTGGCAAATGTGTATTTTGATAAAATCAGGAACATTTTTCTTAACATATTAGAGTATGGAAAAGTACAGTAGTGATTTGTCAGAGGTTTACTATGAAGTAGTTTTGAGGTTGCATCACATATGCAGATATTCAATTTATTCTGTCAGTCTGCAGTTTAAATGTGTAGATAAGCTTCTGTATACTTTCTAAACAATTGGCAAGATCACTGAGATAATTTTAGGTTTTTTGTGCATTAAACTACTGCTGTTATAAAATGTGAAGAAAAAGATGTTTCATTCTCCTTATGCATTTAACAAAATCTGTGTCTCACAAACAACTTTTCTTGTTTCTTCCAGGGAAGGTCTGATTAGCAGAGATGAAATAACAGCTTACTTCATGAGGGCTAGCTCAATCTATTCCAAATTAGGACTTGGCTTTGCTCACAACTTCCAAGAGACCACTTACTTAAGGCCCACTTTTTGTGACAACTGTGCTGGATTTGTAAGCTTACTTTTTAGTAAATTATGTTAACTTTCTTTGGAATTATGCCTTTTTTATCCCAAAATTGCCTTGTATCATATACAGAAATGGATATAAATATAAATATACAGAAATGGATATAAAACATCAGTGAACACTAGACTTCTGCCTCTGTATATGTTTAAGGTACCCTTTACTCCCCTCTTGGCAGTGCCAGTATGTTTAAACATGGTTCATACTTTATGGGGTTTGGTTATGTCACCAAGTCAGGCAAGACTTCCAAATGCAGAGCCTTCCACTCCTTGGGGCTGCTAGAATTCAAGTCCTGACACAGGCATTGCATGCCTCTGCCTGTGGCACAGAAGGTTTAATAAAACTGACTGTCCTCCAATCTTCTGTTCAGCTGAGATAAGACAAGGGTGCTGAGAGAACTTCCCATCTACTCCAGCTCCACAGCTTCTCGAGGAACTGCCACATCTGATGATGTGTTCAGTAGACTAGCTCAAGATATTTTGTTTGTCATTGAGACACATAAAATATTCTATTTACCTTATGCTAAAGGGGTAAATAGTTCTATTTTGGCATTATGATTAGAAGTGTAGGGAAACAAGGTATTCTGCAAGTGCTCAGATCTTAGAAAAGAGTGGAGCTTTTAGTGTTTTTTTTATCTGGGGGTATCAAACATGCAGAGAAATATATTAATATGTAGGCTTTTTGTTTGTTTGAATTTCAGCTATGGGGAGTCATTAAACAAGGATACAGATGCAAAGGTAAAGTACTTTATACTTCGTTAATTTTAATCCATAATTGATAGGGAATAACAAAAACCCGTGATCATCCTGAGATCTGTGGATATATCTGCTGATCCATCTGAGGTCCTCCCAGGGAGGACAAGACTGATTCAAGAATAGTATGACAGAAGAAATGCAGAGATGAAGGAGCTTGTTACTGACAGCTCTAATGCTTGCAAGACATGACTGAATTCAGAGGGTTTGGGAACAGACCCTTGGACACAAACATCACCATTCTGTGAATATTGTGCAGCACATTCCTAACATCTACTTTTCAGTTTTCTTCCTCATACAGGTATCAGCTTTCTCTGCAGCTCCTACAGTCAAAACACTTTTGTGACTGACTGGTGCCATTTTGTACTTTCATAATGAAAAGGAGTTTTAGGCATGTATAGCAAAGGGATGTTGTTTTACAGATGTATGTTGTTACAGGTAATACACGTAGAGAACACCAAAGAAGGCAAGCAGCCAGGAAGGCAGTAGTGTCAGAGCTACCTTAGATGCTGCACCAGAGGCACTGAATCACATAAACATTGTTTTGTTTACAGACTGTGGGATGAACTGTCACAAGCAATGCAAAGACCTGGTTGTGATAGAGTGCAAGAGAAGACCCAAAACTTCAGTTGCAGACAGCAGCCCAACATCTGCTCTTGCTTCAAGCCTCTGCCCAGTAGGAGTTAAAGAACAATTCCCTGGTGAGAAAAGATCAAAATATGTAGATGAACTTTCCTTTCTTTGCTTCTTTTTATTTTAAAACTTGTACAGCATCCTTTTAGGTTTTTGAGTTAACTGCAGTGTTTTATCTGCATATAAATTAGAAACAGGTGTATATTAGCTTGTATCAAGTAACACTATTTCTGCTCTACACTAAGGATGGACTCCCTTTCCAGGAGATCTCTTGTCACACTACACAATGTATGGTGCACAAATTCCACCAAAAAAAGAGGAAATCTTCTGCCAGACTCTTATAATAACTAGATGCTATGTGACATAAAGAGCTAACAGGCTTCCTTAACTCTCTCACCTTGTGACAAGCAAGTCTTGATTTTTAGGAAGTTGTAAAATTGACTACTGCACTGTTACAATTCTGACTCAGATTTTAATGTGGAGTTTATAAAACCAGTTTTCCTATGTATCAGTGTGCTAGGAAAACAAACAGCTAATTGTCTTTATTTTTTTCACTTCAGTAGCTGAATCTCTTAACTTCTGTCCATCTGTCCATCTTCCACAGAATTGGAAATGAAAAACCTATACCTCTCTGTTCTTTTCACCTTATATCAAACAAACTGCATAAAATTTTCTTACTGTTTATTACTGTGTAGGCTTTCAAAGAAGGAATGTTGTCCTTGAAAAACACCAGATTACTTCTGTTGTTATTTTGATTTTCGTGTTCCAACTCTTTGTATATGAACTTTCTTAGAATTTCTTTCCTGCTTTTTGCCTGTATTTAATGTTCTTCAAATCTGCTTCCTGCCACTTCAATTATCAAATCTTTTGTGTTACATTTAAGACTCATACTGCTGGATTCCACCTTAGGCTTCCTATTAGCACATATGCAGAGCTCAGTACAGCCCATTTCTCTTGATAATATATGCATCTCTGTGGCTGTGTCTGAAATGACTGCAGCACTACATAATAACCACCTCTTAACCAAGCTGACCTTGATGCCACACCTGTTTTCCTCTTACTGATGCATATTTGTCTTACTGAGACAGGGGCTGAGTTGTTTCAAGGGACACAACATTGAGAAACTTGTAATGACAGCTATATTGGAGAGCAATGAATGTAAAAGTCAGTAAGGAATAAATGTTTTATTTATTAAGATCATGTTTAATTAACACACCTCCTGTTTTTCCTTTTCTGGGAGAAGATCTTGCCTTAATTTACCATATGTATTTTAAAGGACAAGAAGAAGGATCATTCACCTTTCCTAATGGAGAAGTAGTGGAGCACAGTGAAGACAGCAAGGATAGAACCATTATGCTCATGGGTTCCTCAGCTCAGAAAATCTCAGTGAGACTGAAACCAGCTGTGATTCATAAAAGTACACAGACTGATCCTGTACTGCTGGCTGGTGATGTATCTCGTAAGCGGAGAGAGAAGAAAGAACAGAGGATGCCAGAAAATCCTTATCTCCAGGCAGCCCCAGCATCCGCGTTTCCAAGCCCAATCCTAGGCCGCAGAAAGGCATTTGTTAAATGGGAAAACAAGGACTCCAGCCAGAAAATGAAGGAGGAGCATCACAGCTGTAAACCCTCATACCAGGAACTTGAGCAGGTACAAATTCTGTTTGGCACAACAGTGTGGTCAAGTGGTTGATGTGTGGGGGAGTGGCTGGGTGGAAATGTGTCATTTTAATCACTCCAGTGATTGCCAATTTAATTGCAATTAAACAATCCATGAATGGCATGATAAACTTTAACTTCCAGCAATGCTTCATTTAAATGATAAATTTTAGTGCTAGTGCAGGGCTTTGAAGATACTATGATCACACTTGATCCCTGTCAGTTCTAGAATGTGAACATAATCCGATCACTCAGGACAGAATGTTACTTCATAAAATGAGGAACATAGTTCTGAATTTCTTCCTGATTTTAGTGGCCTCTGCTCCCCCAAGTGACAGACTATATGGGGCTGAGAGGGTAGGGAGCTCTGCTTTTGTTCAGCTGGTAAGTGTAAGCACCACCAAGAAATTTTCCTGTGAACAAACATGATGCTTCTTGCTAGATTTCACCTGCATCAGCCCCATTGTCTCAGGTTACTCTAAAGTGTTCTGACAAAATAGCTATTCATAAGACTGTGTCACCTCAAACATGGCCCAAATTCAGGTTTGTACAAACACCTCTCCAGACAGATTAAAGAGACTGTTACAATTTCAAAGGTGCAACTAATGGACAGATCCAGCTATAATTGAGACGATTACCATTCCAAAGGTGTAACTAATGGGTGGATCCAGCTATAATTATGAGGAACAAAGTCTTATTTTCATACTTTTTACTCAATATTTATCACTGTTCTGTGAAGATCACAGGACCACACTCTAATCTTTGAATGATGATTACCACTTTCAAAATATCCCTTGGTGCTGATAAAGTGAATTCATGTTTTATCAAAGATGAATGGTTTATTAACACCAAGATTAAGACAATCTTCCAGTACAAACCACTTCCCTTTCAATCAACAGTATATTCAATACAACAAGGATGTGAAGCATGGATGTAACTTGTAAAAATGCATTCTTTAAAATGTCCTATTCATTTGAGCCCTGTAATTTACACTTGCCCTTGCTCCCTCTTTCCAACCTCATTACTAAACAGCAGATGATGTTATAAATGAATGGCTTCTGGTACATCAATTTCTGCAGCAGGAAAGAGGTAATGTATGACCTGTATTTTTGTTTCCCCAGACTACTGTTGTTATGAGAGGTGCAGTGGAGGGTGGAGAAGTGCAGGTTTTGGACATGACTCAGATACCAGTTGGTGGAAATTTGTCAGAGTGTACGCAAAGGGTAGAATAGAGACTGTGGAAATATTCAGATAAATTACTGGTTCTGATGAGAGCCACACCAATTTATTTTTATGGCAGCCAACCTAAATATTCAACCAGACAGTCCACAAACAATTGCACTATAAAATACAATTCTCTATTTTTTTTTTTCTTGTTTGTTTAGGAAAGGAATATTCTAAAGGCAGACAATGAAGGTTTAAAGATCCAACTGGAACAGGCACACAAAACTATTGAATCTCTCACAATCCAGAAAAGAAACCATGTAGTTGATGGTCTGCAGCACAGAGACTGCTCCTAGCAGATGAGAGGAAAATCTTCTAAGGAATAGAAGAATGTAAGACTGAAAGAGGGGCTGTGATAAAGCTGCTTACCAAGTGAACTGGAGAGAGAATCTGAAGGATATTAAGTGGAAATGTTCTCTTCACTCAACACATTTCCCTTTTAAACATGCACTCCCAAATGTATAAAATAATTTTGACCTTGTAAGGAAATTTAGCATTATCTGTGCAATGAAAGTGGTATCTTCTGGGTTTGCTTTTAAAAGGAGTGAGAGTGTTGTTGAAGTCTCTATTCCTGTTGAAGACCATATTGATTTCCCTGTGACTTACTTGGCTGCCAGCAGCATACCTTACTGTACAAATGTTCTGAAAAAGTAGCTATTCATAAGACTGGGTCACCTTATATTTGCCCCAAACTCAGTTTCATGAAGCTGAGTAAGTGAAACTGTAGGAAAACAATTCCTTCTTAGAGCTGAAACCAATTAAAAACATTAAGTGAATGGTCCCATTTAATTCAAAAATTAACGAGAAAATTAAAGTAAGTAGCTAAGCTAATGATATTTGATTGATCCATACACTTTAAGATAAACTGACAGTTTTTTTAAGCATCTTTCAGATGGCTTCCATGCCATGACTTGAAACATTTAATTCCACTTATTTGGCTTAAGGGTTAACTTGTCCTTACAACAAGTTATCCATACAGTCGATATGGGATAAGATTGATTATATTTCTCTCCCATCAAAGTAGGTGCCATTGTTGAGCACAACCTTTAGAGCCATATTATGAGGGAAACTGTACAGCAATCCCTGTGCAACAGCTACTGCATTTCAGCGCCCCTTAACAAGATTTCTCCATTTTCTCTCTCCTAGATTTCACATGCACTTTACATAAAGTCTAGTGTGCTCCTATGTCTGTAAATTTTGTATAGTAATAGGTGCAAGGGAGGTAACTTAAAGACACAAAGTGTATATACTGTTTAAAATAAAACAGTCTTTCAAGTTACTGATAAATCTACTTGTCAAAATAGCCTATTTGAAAATTGCATTTGCATTCCAAGAGAATCTGTACACTTAAAGAGTTGTATATTTGTCATCACACAAACATCATAAAGTCCACTTAATGCTCAATACTTCTAAATTATCAGTTCCATTATACATTGAAATTTAGTCAATGAAAATAGTACCTGTGCTTCGTGTTCAAAGTGGCATAAATAAACATTCCATCCACAATTTACAGTCATTATCAACTATACAAATGCTTTATTTATGAAGTTAATTTGAATGTACTTGCCAGTTTAGTGATTCACAATTGTCTGGAAATTGGATTGTGCTTGCAACTCTGTGTATAAGTAAAAACAAATGGAGGGAAAGAGTAGTAGTAGTAGATTTTCTGTAACATTAATGTAAATAACTGAAATGCATATAAAAACAGCTCTAAAGACTGTGCAGCTTTTTAAACTCATACACTAAACCTGAATTAACAAGTAACATGGAATTGCACTTTGGTCAGTGAAGCAATCAGAATGACTGTCAGGTCATGTCTGCAAAATTGGTTTGCCCATTTTCTGTGAACTTCTTGATTTTGTCCTCTATTCAGGGAACTACAGCAAGGTGTATTTCTAGTAGGCATTTAGCAAATAAATGTCTGTTTCTACAACTATTAAACAAGATAAAAGTTGAATATATTTTCACTTACTTAAAAGATACTCCAGAGGAGCAGCTAAGCCTCATAAATCTTCTTGTACAGCCAAGGTAAGTGCTCACTGGTGGTCTAAACTCTGGATTTGAATAGAGTTTGTGTGTATACATATTCTTTGTCTATGATGGAATGTGGAGTTCATGAACAAAACCTCATAGTTAAAAGGAAAATTCCCTAATATCAGCAGCTAGCTCAAAGGCTACTGTATACCTAACTACTTAATATTCCAAACTGAGTTATGACCACAGATTTGTACAGTCCTAAGTGCTAAGTTAATGTTTCTGTGACGACTGCTTGTTCAATCTGAAAGATTTAAAAGGGAGCTGTTTGCAGCAATGTTGTTCAGAGCAAGTGTGCAGTGCTTCATGTGTGCTGAAAACTTCCTGCTTCGAAGTCAGCTGATACCTGGATAACTTCAGAGCTCTCTACGTACCTTCAGGTTCTCCATTTGCCTAAAGCCCCTAAATTGTCTCCTTCCTCCCCACCCAACCCCCCCTTTTTTCTTTTCTTTTTTTTCCCCTAAAGTGCTGTTAGTCCCTTCTCTTCTGGTACTTCCCTTTTCCCCGTATGAAAGACTTAACAGTGGAACCTGACTACAGGGAAACTTAAAACTGACAATGCTACCCAGAAAGAATCACTTGCCTTTGTGTTAATCTTCAAGTTGCTTTATGTTAGGAAAAAGAGACACAATTAAAAGTGCTGTTTAGAAGTCATGTTATCAAACAGTGATACTGAAATTTACCTTGTCATGGCTAAGTCAAATGGAAACACTCTTCTCAAATGGAAACTTCCTCCTCTAGGTCCAGCTCTACTTACAAGAAGGCAGAAAGAACAAGCACCATTCCCCATTATTTTTTAAGCGTGAATTCTGATTGTTTAAAGTAAATAGACTTGAGTAGTATCATAATTTACAAGGCAGGGCTACTGTTCATATTCAGGTTAAATACACTTGCTTTTAGATTATCTCATATATGTTTTGGAACTATGTTTTTGTTCTAGCAGCATCTGTTATTTTGTTGTAGCTGATCTCTGTGGCAACTTGAAAAAGTTTAATGCTGTCTGAGAAGATTGAAAAAGTGTACAGATTGTAAAGATTTTATATAAATAGTAAGACATTGGTTTAATATTTATAATAGAAAAATATTAAAATTGCATTTCATGCCGCCTCTGATTTTGTATCTCAGAGAAATCTATACAACCTATACTCATCTTTCTTGACTGTCATCTGAGATCCTTCTGCAGCATTAATCTAGTAACAGTGTCTAGACCAGCTTCACCTTCTCTAAGCCTTGGAATGATGCCTGGGAAAACTTAAGAAGCTAGGAATTTGCAGATTGTTTGGTATTTTAGTGGTTGACACAGTACAAACACTGTGTTGCTACTCACTATTCCAAGCATTACAAAGCACTTGTCTTTGTTATCATATTCTCTCACTTTTGTTAAGAATGCTGATTTTGAAAAGATTCCACAGCACAGTAGCCAAGTTTAAGCAAGGCTTCTGTTATGTCTGCTAATGCTGCCTATTGCACAGGCAGAACTGTAGCACCCTAGACTTGCTATTTACCTTATAGTAAACTTCAAAATACCATATCCTAAATTGGTTTATATATGGGGAAATGGGCATCCATTCAGTTATCTTCAATCATGTGAGGGAAGACAACAAAAGGTGAAACTCCTATTTGTATGGCAAATCTGCTCTACAGTCTTATGCAAAACAAGTTGTGTTTTTTTCATAATTATAGAAAGTAATAAAGTAAAACCTGAGAAGTAAATGGAGGATATTTCCTTAGTTTATGTAAACACAAAAGCAGTGATCATATAGATCACTATGCTTTTAAATCTTTTTTCAGTAAGATAAAATATAACTGAGATTCCTTAGTAATCCCAGACAAAATCCCAGACTTGTGACTTACCTTGCCTGTTAAAATTTTTCTATAAAGTTATCTATTGCCTTCTCCATTTTGGTCAAAATACATGTTATTTCCATTACCATAAAAAGTAAGTTTCACCACTATTGTATATCACCAGTAGGAATTCCTTCTTACAAACAAAGGAGGAACATATGATAGCAGATCCAAATCACAATAGACAGAGATAATGCAAATAATTGCAAATACAGTACTTTATTCCTCAGTGTTTACAGCTGTTGACAAAAGCATCACTCTCAATTCCTGAAAAAAATCCCCAGCCTTTTTTTTCAGATCTTCAACAAACTAAACAATATTAACTTAGGTATTCCTTAAGTGCGAATAAACACAAAAATGTTCACAAACATATATATGAAAATCTTTTACTTACAACAGAATTTTTGAAAATACTTTTTTTCAAGACAAAACTTGAGGTTTAAATCAATTACTTTCATGGTGTTATTGCATTGTTTAAGAAATTAAAAGCATACATTCTGACAAAAGGACAGCAAAGGATACCTCCATGAAATATGATGGTGCTTACTTTATTTTTTAACTACTGGCTTCACATTTTCAAGTTATTTGGAAAAACTGACATGGCCAGATGAAAAAAGAATCTCCAGCCTGTTTGTATTTCCATATTTTATATGGTCTACATACACATAACTGAAATATGATACTGAAATAATTTAACTTAGAATTGAAGTGGGCATGTACCTCCTTCACTTGATGATTTACTTCATTCAGAACTGTCCTGCCTACTAACAGGACAGACTGATGAGTGTAAAAACACCAAGGCACATCTACATCTGCAGTTACAACAATCTAACTAAACTGCTGCAATCTTGCATCCTAAGACTAATGAAACCTTTAAGCATAGGTAAGTCATTTGTTTTTCTGAGTGTAGTTCCTTGATGAAGCCACATGTTTGACTGCTGATTATCTGTAGCAAAAAGTAACATTGGGATGAGCAAACAGATTTAATCTTAAAGCTTTGGTTGTTAAAAAGCCGCTCTCTACTCCTTGGCTGAGCAACACTTGGCTCTAAGGCCAGCAGCCTCATTTGGTATGTCACGGGTTTGGGAGCTATTGCAGAGCATTAGGCAAAAAACCAAGCTCAGAATCAAGAGAACCAGTACTGTGCTCCCACATGACCCATGAGGTGTCTCTCCATAACGACTGCAGAGGCTGCCAAGAGCTTAGGCCAGTAAGAAGCATAGAAAAAATTTGGCAAAGGAATTACAATGCTAGCAGTTGGGTGACATGAAACCATTACTGCAAAAGTTCACATGCCACCTAACATGTTCTAGCAAGCAAAACTTCTGCTGCTTTTTATCAGGCACCAGCTGTGACCCTAAAGCCCGGGTAATGCCATACATATCACATTAGAAGCAGCATTCTCAAGCAAACTGATGAAAGAAGAAATAACAGAAGAAAAACTTTTGAGAGATAATTTGATTTGGAACAGAACTTTACATTCATGCATGAAGTTACCAATGAAACAGGACACGATATGTATGTTCATGAAGGTAAAAAAAAATCTTTAAAGCATACCAATGGACACCAATAGGAAATTTGTGCAGAAAGGACTTGTAAGTGAGGAACACAAATCCAAAATCAAATCCAAAAGTTCAACCTGCAGTTATGCCTACAATTACAAGTACTTCAAGACAGCTGTGCTATTTAATCATCTGACACACCAGGTTAATCAGATGCCTTCCTGAATCTCTCTGTAGTGACCTGACCCTGATAAATACTGTCATGAGAACCAACTCAGGCAGCACCCCCCTTCTACCTCTGTTCTCAGGAGCGGTCTCACAACGTGGGAGATCTAAAAGATACTGGGCAGCAGGAACTGACTTTTAAAGTGACAGCTCTAATTTTAATTCCTGTCTACATCTATTTACAGCCATGATGGTATGTCAGCTAACTCCTTCTAGACTAACAGTGTATGTGATGAACAAGGCACCCATACCATGTCAACACAGGGCTTCTTTTAGGTTGGCAGAGAGATAAATCACTGAGAAAAGGCAAGGGAGAATAGAATAATTTAAAAAAAACAAAGGCAAAGTAAAAAAGATGAGAAGAAATGTCATGTTCTTTCTTATAAAGCTCAGCTTATTTAAATTTTGTGTCTCAAAACTGATACACAAGGATAGACACATGAATTCATACCAGAAATGATGGCTGCAGCTTTTCTGCCCAATCTGATTTTAAAATTTTTTTAATGAAACATCCATGATGGAAAACAGGTAAAATGAAAATAAGACACAATCAAAACTCACTATGATGACTTTACAGTACATGCTCTGACCATTAAAGAGTGTCTGATACATTATGAACACAAAAAATAACCTGATTTGATTAATTTGTGCAGAGTATTAATTCATACTATTACTATAATGTACAGTTCTGCAAGAATAATCAAATCTAATTGAGTAATTTTGATCAAAGCCTTAAGGATTTTAACATTTGAAATTAAAATTAATTTACATGAATGAATTCATGAATTCCTTTTCATTAAAACTATGATTGAAGAACAATGACATGAAGAGAATAAGCCTGAAATCAGCATTCTTGAGTCTTTTAAAAGTGGTTTCATCCAGTTCTTAGGCCTACTTTGTTTTTTCTACACAACATTTTGGAGCAGGAGGGTAGACATACAACATGCAATAACTGGAGAGGTATGACCATTAACATATTTTTGTTTGTTTACAAAGTGTTTTATTCAGTTTTCTGAGACTTATTTTAAATAAAATGACATAATAAAAAACACCATATAAGCAGTACGAAAAACAAGGACTTCAGTCATCAGATTTCAGTATAAAACTTCAGTTAACTAAAAGAACTCAGTGGGAACATCCGTTGGTCTAATGAAATTACTGATATGGTCATACTTAATTCTAACCTAAACCCAAGTCAACAAATCTAAATTCCTAGTACCAGTAAACACCACCACTATATTCTGCCAGTTGCTCTGTTAAGATGTACAGTGCTTTAGTATCTTCGGTATCCTCCCCCTCCCCTTCCACCATATGGATCACCATAGCCTCCCCTGCCACCATAACCTCCCCTGCCACCTTGGAAGCCACCTCCACCCTGGTAACCACCTCCACCCTGGTAACCACCCCCACCCTGGTAGCCACCTCCACCCTGGTAGCCACCTCCACCCTGGTAGCCACCCCCACCCTGGTAGCCACCTCCACCCTGGTAGCCACCTCCACCCTGGTAGCCACCTCCACCCTGGTAGCCACCTCCACCCTGGTAGCCACCCCCACCCTGGTAGCCACCCCCACCTCTTCCACCACCTCTGAAACCTCCACCTCCTCCTCCTCCTCTGCCCCCTCCACCCCCCCAGTTACCCCTTCCACCACCACCACCACCTCCCCAGCCACCTCTTCCACCACCTTCTTGTCTTTTTTGCCATGGAGGCATTTCAGGAGGAGGTGGTTCAATCTCTGTTGGTCTGCCTCCACGGTCAGGGACTCTCCCCATCAGAACCTGTATGGGAAAACAGGTCATTTTCACAGTTAAAAAATAGTAGCAATAACTTGAAGAGACACTGCCCCTCAGTGCAGTGCTTGACAGCAGAATCGCTATCTCCTGTCCTTATAACACCACAACAGAACTCTTAAATGTTCTCATTTTTCACCTCTAAAACAGAAATAACTGCAGCTAGGTGGCTCATATTATTTTTGTGAATTTTTTAGGAAGAATACGGCACACATGAAGTATTAGTATTGTAATAAGCAATATATACACATCATATATCACATATACAAATACACATATATATTCATACAGAAAAGACCCTTTGTGATGTGGTACTTTTACTTAAATTTCAAAGTTAAAGTTCAAATTAGCCAACAAAAAAAACCAACTGACAAACTGATGTGCAGTTCTCAAAGGCACACCAGTTTGCCTAAAATCAGAAACTACTGACACTCAGTAAAGAGGCAGAATAAACAAAATATGCTGAAGTAACACTTCCAAGAAAAGGGAAAATAAAGGCTTGACTATGGCAGGTATTACTCAGTGTATAAAAAGAGAAAATGCACTGGACAAAGTTATACAAAACAAACATCTATGAAGAACAAAAATGTAGCCAAGTAGGTCTTTTTGTTGTTGCTTTTGTATTTCCTAAACTCCATGTGATCAATGTTAATATTCCCTGATCAGTCCCAGGCATTCCAACTAAAGTCCTCTCAAGAAAAAAAAAAACACCTTTCTCTGAGATCCTACAATAACTAAGAAATTTCAGAGTGTTAAGGATCACAACATATGAAAGAGTATCTATATGAGGCAAAAAACATTAGAAAAATCTGTAAATATGGAATCAATAAAATCAAATTTAGTCATTACTTGAATTGTGAGACTCGTGTCACTACTCACAAGATTCAGCTTTTATCACATACAAGGAAATAGCACAATGTCGATTCATTACTGCAGCCAAACCAGAAAATTTGGCTGGTGACATTTCTATAGAAACTTTTGTGATTTATAACACACTGATGAACTAGAGATGTGGGTTTACAAACCAAACAATAATATCCTGGCAAGGTAGCTCAGGAACTCATACCACAAATACTTATAGGTATCCTTGAGGTGTGCAGTTCCACCGAACTCAAGAGGTCATTTACACACATGTACACTCCCCCACTTTTCCACCTCATCTACACTGTTTCATCATGTTGCATGACTGACTATCTAGGAAGATAAAAAAAAGAACTCTCTACAATGTTTACTGGAATACTGCAAACCTTCCTTTCTTCAATGGAAAAAATGAAATTAAGGTACCAAGCAAAAGCACTGCAATTCCGGAATTCCTTTTGAGAGGTCTGGAAATGCCCCTGTCCATTT